ATGCACCCACTCCGACCAAGAGGGCTACGGTGCTGGATCTTCTTCTAGACGGCGGCACGGTATACGAGACTTGGCGTAATTGTTTCACAGTCATCGTGGCCGCTCGCTTCACAGGAGTCTTACCACGGACTCTTACGACCGCAGCTCGAACCATCCGTAAGATCTCATTCTCCTGAACCGTAAGGTTCCTAGTTGCTGGATGCATTTTGTTAATCGTCAATAGTACACGCACGTACTGCAGGATAGTTGATGTCTTATATGCCTTCGCTAACCTTTCTTGGCGGACGTCAGACAAATATGCCACATATCTCGCAAGAAGCCAAATATTTAATGGAAATGGTCGAATGTCGCCACTGACCTCTGCCACATTGGTCATGAGAAAGTTTTCATATCCCCGTCGTATCGACGCGTAGGTCGCGTTTGTTGTGCGAGCCCTCGCATGTGTGAGTAAGAGAATAGCGTCTCCTTCATCATATTTCCTTGGCCGATGTGGCGTCATCGCTTCCATCGCTGGGGAAAGCGACTGACGAGTTTGGCGGTGGTAAGAAGCCAGGGTATCTTCGGTTGCCATATTCTGAAGAGATCCCGCATGGGTTGCCCCAACTATACTGCCAAGGGGAAGGCGCGTAGGCCGCGTATATGGTGCGGCGAGACTTTGAAGCTCTTGGGGAGCCACAGCTCTAGTTTTCCATGGGATGGTCGAATAAACGGCTTCTTTGCCCTGCAAGAGCTCGATGACCCACCCAGGAGCAGACATTTTGGATGCAGACTCAACTGCGTAGGATCGATGGAATATGGTATCCGAAATTCAACTCACAATGCCAAGGTTACTCTCCACGTCACGCAAGACAGGCTTGAGTCAAACCTTGATAACTTATCACTCTAAAACAGGCACAACGGAGATCAACACCTGAGCGTCAGCCGGCTAAGGCGAGACCTGTGTGACAGACTCTTCCAATTTATCTAGAATAAGGCCTAGGTCGACCTCACTCATACTAGCACCAACCATGTACTTCCGAACCTCCTCAAGGGACTGCCGGGATAATGCATCAGCTAACCAATTCTCGTCAGTAGACAAATGGTAAGCTCGGACACCTTTGCTGTAACCCCAAGCACTAGCCAGACTCTTCAGGAGATCGTTCATCCGGGCTGACTTCGCAGAGAGCTTGTTGATTGCTGCGACAGCTGCTGCGTTGTCACAGAGAATGATGACCGGACGATCAGCAGGGACGATTGCACAGCCGCATAAGGCGGCTAATAGTTCTAGGGAGCATATGTCCCCGGACTCCCACCTGTCCCAGTTGATAGGTTCAACCAACTTGCTGATCCTCGATGCCTCGGGAGTCGCTAGATCCGAGCGATACCAGTAGGCTTTACCTTCACCTATGACTATACCCCCCAGGGCGGAGGTTGAAGAGTCGGAAATGACAACCGAGACATCCGACTCCTCCGAGTATCCACCAAGTTTGGCGCCCCATCCCAATAGGAAACTTGCGGGGATTCTCGCCAAGGAGCAAAGACCCTTGTCGGGTGCCGAACCATTCAGACTCTCACTGAGGATGGACTGAAAAAACTGCAAGTCACTTTTCGCCTCATCACTTAATCGTATTGATCGACAGTCGAGCCGCTCAGCTACTGCTTTGCAAGCATAGAGGCTACGAAGCTTTGGCTTTAGAAGCCTTGCGACATGGCACAGCCAGGAGAGACGACCTGTCACAGTCTTCATAACGGCACCGAGACTTTACGACCATGGCATGCATCGACAAGAAGATTAGTAATATCGTCGATGATAACCTCTGCTTTCGGCGGTGACACCCCAACAGTATCAGTCTTGAGGTTCCACTGGAATCCGAGAATAGCTGGATTCTGCGAGACTCGGATTTTCTCGAAGGAATCCTTTACACCTAGAACCGCGTCCAAGAGGAGAAGGCCCACTAGACGATGAGGAGCCTCGACAGCTCCACAGAAGTAATTGCGATCGTCAATATATAGTTGTAGACCTTCGGGACGTCCTTCGACGCACGCGAATATACGTTTAGCTAGTCTCGCAACTGATGCGCAGGGTCTAACCCAGAGTAGAGGCGAACTCCTTAGGCCGAATGGGATACGTTTATGGGCCACAAACCTCTGACCTGAGGAAGTGTTGATGCAGTTAACGCAATACTTCCTATCCCGTTCCCTCATTGGAATGTGACGGAACGCACTGGCAACGTCGGTCTCGATACAGACGATGTCCGCGTGCTGTCCCCTGGCTCTCTGGTAATCCCGAATACTCTGCAAGATAAAAGCGGTGCAGGACGCACCTGGCAGTTCGATGGTTTCCTCCATCTGGACCCGTGAGTTAACACCGCTACGCTTAAGATCATCGATCACACGGATGCTCCCGTTCTTCTTTTCGATAGCCGCAATTCTCAGGGTTTGCCCTTTGGGCGGGCAAGCGTCAAAATTTCGCGGAAAGGAAATTTTATCACGGAAAATTTCGGAAACGGTGGAAATGGAAATTTCCGTGTAAATCTCGCACGCCATGCGGGCGCGCGAGACATGCGATCAGCCAGGTATGCCCACCGGACCCAACGTATGCCACTTCCGGGCCCAACGTATGTCATGCCAAATAGGGTGGTTTGAACCAGATAAATCGCGGCCCTTCGGCCCGCTATAGTAGCCATGTCATCTTAGGGTGTTATACGAGTCTGGCCGAGGCTGGCCGAGTTCTGCTTCAGTTTGTATCCTAGGTAACTGAGTCTACTGTTCTGGGTCGAACGTGAGCAAAAGCTTGGGCTCTTAGAGGGGAAATGAGATATTTCATCTCGTTTTTCATCGATCATAATCATTCTGAATTACGGGAGAAAGTGATCGATGTCTACGCCCTATGGCCCATAGGGCCCAAACCCATAGGCTATGGGTCTCCACCTCGGATACCGTCCATCATGCTGGGGCTCAGGCTGAGCCGCTCAGCAGCTTATCCAAAGTGACGCAAATTCGTGCGAGTTACAGCTAACGTGTGAATGCGAAGATTACCGCCGAAGGTGTACTCGATAGAACGCAAGATATGGTGGACTTAGTCCACTGGACTACAGCCAAGTAGGTCGATAGCGCCAACCGTGAAAA